ATTACATTGCCAGACTGAATATTGCGCTGCTGGTAAATGAGGCGATCTTAAGGTAGATGGAAGCTGTCTGCTGAGAATACTTTCAAGGAAAGGGAATAATTATAGCTCTGTTTCTGGCTAGGGCAGGAGTAGTTGTGTCTGCTTATACTCCATTGTGGAAAAAGCCAAATAGCACTGATAAGGTGGAGTGTAAGAAGCATTGAATTTAAGACTGGGAAAAGCCAGTCACCGACAAACAGCTAGAATTGGAACTTGGAATCCAAATAAGAAATAAAATACTGAACTGTGCCATATTCTTAGCAAGAATATGGTCTGTGATATCTAATGAGGGCCCTTTTGACCATGAGAGCTCTTGCTTGCAGAGGGAATTTGCTGTTGCCAGTCATTCACAGGCCCAAAGCCATATTCTGACTACTGCTTTGAAGAGCTGTCTCCCCTGAGAACTTCCTGTAATGCTACATTCTGAGCCATTTTCTAGAAACAGTGTCTCAGTCTTTGAAAGATGGAAGGTGTCTTGTTCAAGAGGAGAGGTCTACAAGGAGAAGGAAGAGGAAGCTGCAAGCTAGAATAAATGACTGTTCAATGAAGGTCAGTGTTCTGAGAAAAGCTAAGTAGTTATTCACAAGCAACTGGCTCTCTATGGAAAGCCAGTTTAGCATGCATTCAGTATGCTGTGGGCATTCCTTGGGTTAGAAAATAAAATAGAGGGCATTAAATTTTCATTTGTGGTCTTGATGTTCCTGGTGCCTGCAATTTGAGTGCATTTTGTGAAAGATAACCAGGTGCAGCTTCCACAAATGCATGCATTTCATTAGTGTGTTCATTTTAAAATAAACAAGTGCAAGAGATGAGATAAAGACAGTGATGAGTAATTTGAACCAATTTAAATGCAAATGTACATGGTTTTCTTGTTATGAACGAGAAACACAGCACAATCACACACACACACACACACATAATTTTGAACCAGTTGTAGGGTAGCTTGGTTGCTATTTGAATGGTTGCAAGTAAACAGAAGTAATGTGGCATCTCTTGGCGACTTTCCCTCAACCCTAATTTTGTCTGTGACTATGCCAGTAGCACTGTTTATAATAAAACAGAACTGCAGACTGGGGAGCGAACCAATCTAGTCCTGCCTTACTATCTGCACTAGTACTATGACTGATTTGAATCCCTAATGAGATACCATGCCATAGATAGGGAGGAGAAGAAGTTATTAATGGCTGAATAAGACAGGACCCAGATGACCAAAACATATGCTAGGACTGAGGAAAATGGATATGGTGACAGACATAGTAATAAGTAATAACGTTAAGTACAGCCTTTGGTAAATTATGTCCAATGTGATCTGGGTCCAGATTATCATTTTTATCCGATCTTTCCATGACAAAAATAGAATTCAAGCTGGGTAAGAGATAGAATTAAAACAAGTTTATAATACATTAAACAATAAGATCACCAACAACATCACAATACTGAGTTATAATATTCAGAATTAATCAAATTATTAAAACCTGTGAAATTATTAGGTTAAGAATATGGGCATCTTCGTTGTCAACACATGGTGAGAGAAAAGCTGTGTGTGTTGTGGATATGGAAAAAAATATTGAAATTTTTCCCCCGTGATCATAAAACAAGTTTCTTGGGTGCCAAAAAAATTAGCAAGATGAATCCTAGATAGACGAGAATCTTTGCAGTTCAAGATTTATTCTAAATGACAACAAAATTGAACATAGTGGGGGGGGGGGTGCATGAGAAATAATGAATTTTCACATAAACAAGTCTTCTGCACAGAAAACAGACTTTTCTGCACATAAAATGGAAGATTATTTTCTGTGCGAAAAATGTTTTTTTCACAAAAATCCTACATGCATGTTTTTCTGCACAGAATAAGTCCTGAACTATGAATACTCTTTGAGAATTATAATTTTTGCATGGAGCAAAAGTACAAAACTGCAAGAATGAAATTGATTAATATTTATGTTATTCCTAGCCGTAATTTCTACACTGGCCATCCTTATGTGTAGGGGAAGGTCCTATCAATGTTGAGGTTCAGTTGCTTTTTCAGGTGTATTCTACATGATGGATATAGCTTTGGGGGCGTGATGGATACAGTTTTGGGCTGACCCTGCAGATGCTCATAGGAGCTAGCATTCTCCTTGGTAAGATTTTTTTTCTGGCCTTTGCTTCATCTGGTAGCAGCTCCATTCAGATAGGATTCTTTCCCATTACTTCCCTTCCCTTCTTAGTCTTGACTCCTGCTACCTCATTTCATCTTGGGATCGTTTGTGGACAACACGGTGTTGATATCACCAGGGATGCTCTCCACTTGCATTTCTTAACATTTTAACTGATGCAGGATCTGGAGAGCTCAAGAATTTGGGAGCACTATGTTCCATTTTGAGTAAACTCACATGGATTTTGTAACTGGTAGAGCAGTATTTTGTTTTAAACAATGATAGATAAATTGGGTAGGAAAAGCAGTATGAAAGTAAATATATTTCCATTTTTTTTCCTGTTGTAATTACAGCTGGCCCTCCATTGCATCCACAGATTCAACCATCCACAGCTTTGAAAAAAAATCCCAAAGGCAAATCTTGATTTTGCTGTTTTAAAATGAAATGTCATTTCACCATGCAATTATATATAATAGGGCATTGAGCATCCATGGATTTTAATATATAGTATATAGCAAGGGCCCACTATACATGTTTCTGTATATTTATATATGTGTTGCCAATACTTGAATGATATGCTTTCAGTGCTTTTCATTTTGTCCTTTAAATTCTGAATATGATTGTTTGCTTTTGTAACTTGGACTTAGTATGCCTGGCAGTAACAGAACTTCTTGTAAATGATGTCCTTGGGTTTCAAAAACCAGGCTATAGGATGGATTTACCTCATAATGAAGGCTATAAAACATCTGATTGATCTGGCCATTTAAGTGGAAGATTGCACATGATTTAAAAACAGAATGAAGCCTGAGACAGAGAGAAAGAACACACAACCTTGATCGTACTTTGTAGCCAAACAAAAAAAAGTTAACTTCAGGTCACTAGTGGAAGTAAAAATACTAGAAAGAGCAGTGCAAAATAAGCCCTGAGAGAGGAGGGTGGTTTCATCATGTTTTAATCTCTGCTTTGTGTATTTTAGTATGTATTTTATAGAAATACATTTTAATACGTGTGTTTAAAGAAATTTTACAATGTTTATGTGTTTTAACTATGCTGTAACCCACCTCGAGTCACAAGGAGAGACAGGTAAGAAATAAAATGATGACGATGATGATAATGCATAGTTTCTATGACAAGTCACAATTAGGAAAGCATTTTATAGATGACACCTAAACTTGGCATGATAGAAGAATTTGAAGAAAGGCCATCTCCCAATTATGAAACTCGGGAAGCTGTGGATTTGAGTCTTGTTTCTGTCATGGGTTCAGTTTTTCTTCTACCTAGAAGAATCCTCCACCTTGTGTGACTGTGGAGCAGAACAAAAACTCAGCATCTGTATGTTTGCCCACAATGCCCTGTCTCATGCACAGAGTAAGAACTGTTTAAAGATACAATGTGGTCGCTGTTGTCTGTTTTGGTCTAAAATTATTTAGCTGCTTATGTTCCCTCTATATAATCAGTTTTATACTGATTTATTTATGCAATGCTTTTGACACAAAATAAATAAAGCTTTTCTTTTCACCTAAGTTTCCTTCCTGCCTTATCCAAATGAGGTTAATAATATTGGATTATGATATAAGGTTGTTACAGTTATTGGAATCTAATGGTGCAGTTATTCTGGATCCCGATGCTTCATCAGTTTTTTCCCATCCTATCCCAGCTTCCAGAGCTGACCTTTGACAGCACAAAGGGATATGGAGTGGGGATGTCCCTATTTTACTTTTGCTGGATAATCAAGTACACCATTGGATCTTGACCAATAAACGTATTTATTTGTATATTAAATTGATGTACAGCCCAATAGCTCATTTTGGGGTGTATGGTGCTATATTAGTAATTCAGAATAAAAGGCATCTATGATAATCTGAATATTCTATTTTAATAGGTTTGTACAAAATAGGGGCTAAACTTATAGAATACAATATAACATTAAAATGTAATGTAAAATATAATATATTTGAAAAATTGTATATATGCATGGTACATATACAAACAATTGGTAACGATCTTGGTTGACGTCACTAAGGGCTAACCATTAAAATACTTACAGTACATTAGAAGAAGGTGAAGACAAGCCCTTTAGTGTTGCCATAGTTTGGGAACAACTTGACAGCACACAACAACAACAATAAGAAAGTATCACATCTTGAGGGGATCTTAGAGTTTATTATTTATTTATTTAAAACTTTCCCGATCTTCTCTACCTCTGCAGAGGGACTCAGCAGTTGTTCCTTATCCACCATATTAAGCAAGTCAATAGTCGTAATGCCGATAGGACTCTGATTTCCCCTCTAAAATAAGCACCATAATGTCAACTACATCAGGTCACTAGGATTCAGAAATAGTCGGGCACCTGATTCCAAATATTTGATTGCAAATTTGAAATAAACTTCTAGCCCCTTTCTTAGTAAGCTAGGTTTATTGCTGGGCAGTGATACTATAGAGATCCAAAATAAAGCTTTTTTCCTGCACAATAAAGTGTACAGAGGAACTGGGTTAATGGTGCACAATACTGACTTCATTTAGCCAGTGGTTGCTCACTCTGGACTGAAGAAAAATGAAGGCAACTTAGGTCAGTTTCTTGTGCAAACCAGCAATATTTGGTCTGAATCTCATTTTTCTTAACATTGCAAGCATGTATGTGGAATTTGAGCAGCAAACAAAGTTCCTGTGAGTTTCCTGCCTCTGTGCTTTCCTGGTTTCTCCTATTGCAGACAAACTCAACGAGTGCTGAAAATAGCTCAAATGCTCCTAGAACAGTAGCCGCAGCCAGCAGCTGAAATTCTTCTGGGCTCTTATCGCCTTCTCTTTTTCTCTCTGTTGCAGGTTCTTGTTCTTCAGTTAAACTTAGACCTTTAGAGAAGCTAAAAGTGAAGAAAGGCCTAAGTTAACAAGATCTGGATTTACAAGAACAAAAATATTTACATCTCCTATATCCGAAAAGCAAGACGACTCGTCTGACTGGTAATTACCTCCCCTCTTTGTATGTGTATATGTGCATATGTTTTAAGGATTTACAGTTTTGACCTGTATTCATAGCTGACATTCCTTGGTCGTTAATTAGGATACCATAAGAACCTGCCACAGAAATACGGAGAGTTACTGTTGCTCTTTCTGTTGCGTTCTCTCTCTTTCACACACACACACACACACACAGTCTCCTTTGAAATATTAATGTTCATACAACATGCAGAAGCATGATTATAGCTCAATGTTGTACTGCTTCATCTTGTGAAATTTGGGGTGCATGGTGCTATATTAGTTATTCAAGATGAAAGACATCTATGATAATCTGATTTCCCCCCTCTCCTGTTAGTTTCTTTAATCTCTCTAGTTCTTGCATTTGGAAGCATTTGAAATAGCAGAGTCAGAGGTTTTATTTGCAAGCTCTTGGTTTGCCCTTAAGTACTGAAAATTCAGAACCCTGTAATTTACTACCAATACTTAAAATATCATTATTGCACTGTGTAAGTTATTCTATTGAAACAACTAAAAATGATCTCATATTTTCTGTTGATTATTTTTTCTTAGCCCAGGGCTTCCTGATGCAGTAATTGTTTAGGACTAATTTCAGTTCCTGCAGTGACTCTGACTGTTTGCTAAACCCGAATTAGTTAGATGTTGGCCATGGGCTACTCTTTTCCTGCTGTCTTGGATTTGTTAACTCCATTCTCCATTTCTGTGTCCTGTTTCTCTTGTTTGACTGCAAGAGTTTACAATTTGTTTGTTACCCCAACACCACCACCACAGTCGTGGACTTTTGCCCCCCCCCCCTTTTTTTAAGCCTGATCCTTTTTTCTGAGGGAACTTTCTCATTTCACAATCATAACACTTTTATACCAAATTAATTGTCACATCCAAATCCTTTGGAATTCTGGGGTTGATACTTTAATGAGACACTATAGTTTTCTGGACAAAAGTTCTAAGCACTGCAAATTCAGTTAGACAGAACCATGGCAGATGAAGTGGAATCAAAGTATAACAATTGTGTTGTATGAAAGAGTCATGTGTCAAATGGCTTGTTTTGCCCATCCTGCAACAATTAAACAGATCAGTACGGGGTTGATATAAAAGTTACCTGTAGAAATTTGCCTAAAAGTAGGGGAGAACAGTGCCAAATTTCCTTGCAGATGGCAGACAGCAGCACCACCACAATCAAGTTATTTTTGCTAGTACTCACTTAGCAGACTAAGCGGTGGCTGGTGGCTGCTGTGGCCTGATGAAGTGGAGAAAAGGATCACCAGAGATACAGACAAGAACTTATTGGTGCCATATTTGGAATCTCTAGGCTTCCATACCACAGAACAGGAAAATTGAAGTATGTGAACTTTAAGATCATAAGTGGAATATGGCAGACACAGCCAGACAGAATAGCATAATGTAAAACAGTATTTCTCAACTCGTGGGTCCTCAAAGGTTTTGGTCTTCAACTCCCAGAAATCCTAACAGCTGGTAAACTGGCTGGGATTTCTGGGAGTTGTAGGCCAAAACACCTGGGGATTCACAGGTTGAGGACCATTGCAGAGAACCACTGCCTACCATGGAACAATCACATGTGGTTTCACTTATCAATGGCTTCTCTTGTTCACTTAGGGCCTCCTGTACTAGTGACATCCTCTTCTTAGCACATCCATCATTCATCCTGTTCAAAATAATAGGCCTCACTATTGTCCACAATTTCACATATCCATATGAGCTCTGGGAGCATATCCCCCCACGAATATGGGGACCGCATGGTACTGACAAATCATGTCAAATTTCTGCAATAGAGGACCCTGAGAGAAAGTATACTTTCCAGGTTGAGACTCACTAAGCATAAATCTAATGCCACCTTAATTCCAGTTAGAAAATCTCCTGGTAAGGTTACATCCTTCTTGCGTTAACTGCAAGTATAATATTTTTCTCTAACTTACTATTTTAATTTTTCTCCTCTGTGGTTCATTGAGTGCCACTTTTGTTTCAGAGGCCAAATGTGGGTAAAAATCATCAATCCATTAAAAATAATAAATTACATATTTAAAATACCCCCCCACACACACACACACACACCTGACAAAAAACAAAGCAAGTTATAAATCCATCAAGTATTTTGTGCAAATAAAAATAATCTTCCATCGTATCTATAGTCTCTGTATTTCTTTAAGAAAGAATGTATATTTGTGTCCTAAATATTTCCTTCTTGTTTTTGTTACATTCGTCGTTCAATAGGTGCGTTGTGTAGAGGAGGGTGGAAAGTGGCAAATGTTTTGGACTTCATCCTGTAGAATTCTTGTCCAACTTCTTTTTTTCATTAAAGTAATACTTGACTTACTGGAATTACTGTAGGTACCTAAAAACATCTGACTTATAATAATTTTCCACTAGTTCAATGCTTAAATGCCCTTGCTAATAGAAAAATCACCTACAAATAAAACTGCTCTCAACCTGGAACAGAGTGATGCCAAGTTTTAGTTTAGTTTTATGGTTTAGTTTAGTTTTATACCAAGTGAATAAATGTTGCTTCTGCCTCGAATAGGGAGTCTGTAACTGAAGCGCTGACCTAACCTGAATGTGGAAGTGATATGAACGCAGCCCTGTTGTACTTCTGAATGAAGCGGAAGTCTCTGGAGAGGAATGGAATGTCTTTCTTTTAGCAAATATACCTCTGCATTCATGGAGAACAAACAGTAACATTTTGTGCAGGTTCCTTCTTCGACAGTGTGCTCTTTGTATGGCCTCTAATGGTGTCAAATGTGTTACTTAATATTTTTTTTAGAAATCCCCATTAGTTTTTTTTTAAAAAAAACCAACTTGTTTTTTCTCCTAGAAAACTCTTTAAGTTTTCAAAAGCTTAGTGTTATTACTTGTAAAGCTGCAAACAAAAGTGTATTCAGCACCTTACTTACTTAAATAGGGTGCAATCCTATACACGTACATTTAACCCAGGAGTGAGCCCCATTGAACAAAGAAGAATCTTGTTTCTGTCCAAACATGTGTAACATTGCCCTGTACTCAAATATGAACTGTCACCTCTGTCTGAATACATACTGGAAAAGGATAGTACATGTCTTTTATGCACTGTCACTTTTCTGACAGTGAAAATGCAGTATTGTTCTAAACTAGCTATGTAGGAATATTTCTGAACTTATTTCCAATGGTCGTTCCACCCTGTCCTGCAGTTTGCTTTTCGGTTTTACTGAGGGCCCTTCCACACAGCCCTATAATCCAGAATATCAAGGCAGAAAATCCTATAATATCTGCTTTGAAATGGGTTATCTGAGTCCACACTGGCTTATATTCCAGTTCAAAGCATATAATGTGGGATTTTCTGCCTTGATATTTTGGGATATAAGGCTGTGTGGAAGAGCCTCCAGATAACCCAGTTCAAAGCAGGTATTGTGGGATATTCTGCCTTGATATTCTGGGAAATAGGGCTAAACCCATTCCACACAGCTGAATGAAATCCCACATTATCTGCTTTGAACTGGATTATATGTCAGTGTGGACTCAGATAACCCAGTTCAAAGTAGATATTGTGGTATTTTCAGCCCCAATATTATGGGTTATTGGCTTTGTGGAAGGGCCCTGAGTCTTGAAAACCTTTTCACATGAACTCAATGATCTGCCTAACACTCAATCCAATAGAGCTTTGCTGCCTAAGTTCCTTCTGTTCAGAGAGCAATGTCCATATTGCCCCTACACAGTTATGTCATTTTCATACCATTTTATTTCTCCAGGTTCTGTGCTATAGAATCCTGAGATTCAAGCCTGTAGCCGGGGGGGGGGGGGGCGTGGGGGGCTTCAGCCGCCCCGCCCCCCCAATTCTCATGGTGGTTCACGAAAAGGCCTTACTGGTGCATTATTTAAACTGTTATGTTTATTCATATCATGATCTGATCACCATACTCAATATATCCCATATGCATGGGGGTATTGGGGTAATGATACAAAAGGTTTGCTAGGGTAGACCCTCTTTCACTCAGACGCAGCCCCCCTCGAACCAAACTCAGCACCCCCCGAATCAAATCCCCCCCCTAAAATCTGCCCCCCCCCCCCCCCCCGAAACAAAATCCTGGCTACGGGCCTGCTGGGATTTGTATATATTTAGAGTTACCTCTCCAAGACTGCTAGTGTTACAGTACAAGGAAGAGCACCAGAGCATTGGTGTCAAATTTGTGGCCCTCCAGATGTTTTGGAACAACTCCCAGAATTCCTGGCCATTGGGCAAGCTGGATATGGTTTCTAGGAGTTGGAGGATGAAACATCTGGAGGGCCATAAGTTTGACATCTCTGCACTAGAAAATTCAAAGTCCCTACCAGACTGAAAATCACAGGATTCATTAACATGGAGCAGTTGACGTGGAGCAGTTGACTTAACATGGCAGTTGACGTGTAGTATAGTTCTGTATTATTTATATCTCTTCCCAAGCATGAACTTGCTACTTTCTCTGAAATGCATGGAGGTTCTTATGCATGCTTAATTCCTTCGTGCTTACCAGAAGACAGACTACTGTCTGGATTTGGATTCAAGCATTTTTCTGGTGCTGTTGAGCTTAGCAATTGGTAGGACACTATGGAGGAATTTGAGAAGAATATGTAGAAGTCAAACCAGACTTGATGTCAGCAGAGACCTCTCAGTGCTGAAAACTGAGTGCATGGGTCCAATATTAAGCATAAGCAATAATTATAAAGAAGAAAATACCTTTGAATGTTCATGATTTTCTTTTGGTATGGGAATAATCAGGATCAATTTCTTCTGCATCTGTGATTGTGAGACATATTTTCCAAATATGTGAGTGTGTAACTTCTATATCTCTTGGGTTGAGGGGAAGCTGTGCTTTGCAATGTAATACATACCTTATAATGAAGCCTCAGCAATTTCTTTATGAGAACACCACATAATATGCTGTGATGGTAGCACAAAATCATTGGGTTCTTAATTGTACAATGCTTTAAATGTATTTGTTTACAAAAATGTAGTATGC